ATTTTCTTAGCAGTTTGGGCTTGGGCCCATGAATAGCTGCTGTTAGGGTTTCTTGTAATCTTATTTATATTTGCCTTGTAAACCGAGAGACTTGTAACGAGTGGCGGTGAGGTGAATATAGTACAGACAAGCTGGACGTAGCCTATATTGGGTGAACCAGGGTAAATCATCGTGTCAATCTCTCTACTCTTATCTCTTTTTCTGTTTTCTCGATTCTGTGTGATTGTCGATTTCCAACAATACACCACATTGATCCTTTTGTGCCAGTTTCCCATTTGTAATCTGTGTATTTCTGTCGAGGATTTCCGTTGATTGAGGTTTACAAAATCCATTTTACGTACACATTGTTTTCCTTAAGCCATTTTTACAGAGCATGTTAGCAAGTAATCATCCATACTGCATCTACCAAGTGATTCTATTTCATTCCCTCTTAATTAAATTTTATTTCTTCGCTTCTTAACAAATACGAACTACTTTATATCATATATTACTAGAATTTGTCTGCACGTGAGAATGTAAGATTGGTTTTACTTAAAACGGATTTTAACCGCCCATATATAAAATTAAATAGTTAAGGTTAATTAACACACATATATAAAATTTCTGACTATATACATGGATGCTTAAGATTGGTTTTACTTAAAACGGATTTTAACCATACATATATAAAATTAAATAGTTAAGGTTAATTAACACACATAATACATGCATATATATTATAATTTATTTTTTTTGATAACATATTATAATTTTTTAGTAATTATATATTAGTATACTTTTTAAATGTGAGGCAAATGATAACAGATATTGTTGAGATATATAAAATTATTAATGTAGCCTCACCCAACAGCTTAATCTTTTGGGTTGAATTGGTTCTTTACATGGTATCAAAGCCTCGGTGTATCGAGTTCGATCCTCACCACCCCCACTTTCTTTCTAGTGGAATTTCTTTCTCCGCACAAGTAGGTGGGCCTGTGCATCGTCTACCCTTCAAGCCCAGTGGACTCTCATGTGAGGGGGCGTGTTGAGATATATAAAATCATTAATGTAGCCTCACCCAGGTTGAATTGGTTCTTTACAGGTATGATGCAAGTTTGTTTAATATTTTTAGGAGAAAAATGTTTGTCATTTTAAATGACACAACTTATATCATTTCACTTTCACAAAGAGGTGGGACCCACACCTTTATTTTTTTTGTCAACTCTCTCTCCTCCTTTATCTATCTCTTTTTCTCTCTTAAAATGACACAACTTTACATCCTTTAAAATGACATATATTTTTCTCCATATATATATATAAAAGGAGAAAACATATTTTCTGAAAAAGTTATAAATCAAAAGATTCAAAACTATAGCGATTTCACTCTTTGTTTCTGTATAGGCGTTCATGCCTTGCACAATGAATTTTTCTGATAATTCGATTGATATATGTCTTTCTAACGGCATGGAGAAACAATCTATTAATTCCTATAACGAAGAATAAAATTATCGACTAGAAAGAATTATCCACTCACACAGACGCCTTCCACAAGAACAATTTAAATCATGGAGAGATTATGATAATAATTAATATGTCTCCCACTTGGAAGGCATGTCCCTCTTTTTTTCCTTTTTAGTAGATAGAAGGTATGTCCTTATGTGGGATTGATACTTTTATTTTATTCAATTCGATTTAATTCGATTCGAGCCATGTTAAACCTATATTGAATGACATTTCCAATACCATTTTCCCTATTTCCAAGACTTGATAGAATTTTGCCTGAACATCTTATTTTTTAGCTACCCTTCTACCAAATTTAAAAGTATTTAATTTGTTGAAGAAAGCTATTATCTATACGTGCCCAATTATTGTTAAACACGTCATTGCTACTATAGCTATCTACGACTGTAGAATTTAAATGCACATATAATTTGGTGTTTATTATTGTATGAAAGATAAAAATAGAATGGTGATTGAACAGATGAGATCAAATAAAATGAGGTAGTTGAGGCACATAACGCGAATTTCCTTAGGTGCTCCTATAATAATAAAAGTTTGTTATAAAAAATTTGACATAAAAAAGTAATAGATAGATCGAAACTTATATGAAAAAAATTAGTACAACAAAACTTAATAGAATATAATATAGATTGACGAAAAATGTGTTTTAAAATAGATCGTAAAAAATCTATTAACATTATGAATGATTAGACCCGTTCAAATGGTTCATTTTTAATCGTTTTCTCCTTTATTTTTCTTTATTTCTTTCTTTTATCTCTTCTTTTTTATGAATTTTCTATTGTTTTTTTTCTTTCCTTTTTCTCTTATTTGTTTATTTATTTTTTTCTCTTTATTTCTTATTTTTTTATTTTTTTACTTTTTTATCTATCTTTATTTTTATTTTTTTCCTTAATATTTTCATACTTTTCATTTGAATTCATACCGATCCCAATTAATTTTGAATAAAAACGTGTTGATATTGATATTTTGGTGTTTAGTGAATATTACAATGGGAAAAATATTTCTGCAGTTAATGCAGATAAGTTATCTGCATTTATTCCCAAAACGACGTCGTTTTGATATTGAAATCTTAAAAAAATTATAAATATAAAGACTATTATAACCCTGAAATAAATTAAAATTACAAAAACACCATGATTTCCGTCCCAAAACGACATCGTATTGACTTACTGTAGATAACTTATCTGCAGTAACCGCAGAAAAAGCGAACCCTATTACAATTTATATATGATTTTACCCAGCAAGCTAATTAATTAGAACTAATCATTGTGATTAAATACCATTCAAAAAATGACTGCAAAGAAAAAGATTTGGAATCAAACTATTATAATTAGTCCAGCATTATACATAGTTAAGAATAAAAACATTTATTTTATTTTGAATGTTACATAAAATTAATAAATTAATTTTATTTACCAAAAGATATAGAAATCATCATATACATCTACGTAAAATACAATCTTGAAATTGAACTTTAAAAAACTTAAAATTGAAAGACTAATGTCGCTTGTACCATTTTATTTTTTTTACAATCATCACAAAATTTATTCTCATATACTGAATCTAGAATTGGATCATGCTTCTTCTGTATAAAACGTAATTACTTGACAGTAATTTTCAATTTTCAAATACTTTAATGGACTGCTGAGTAGTGCAATTCTTTATGGGAAATCATTATCTCCTTCTACATTAGATAAGAACTTTTTCCTACACAAATTCGTTTTCCGTGCCAATTAATTTTTCTTTTCTTTTCTTTTTTAATTTAAAATGTAGGACCCACATTTAACTTATCTCTACTTTTTTTCTCTCCTACTATCCTACAACATAAGAAAATATGCACCCATTCTTTATACACATAAATGATAAAACTAGGCAATATTCATGTTAATAAATCATCCTAGAAAGAAAGTCATGGTCTAAGTTGCTTTGGATTAAATGGTGAAGTCACCACATGTTAATTATACTCAATTAGGAACTCCTGACAAAGCCTTTTTGCATGATATATATATATATAGGTAGTCAGTCACTTACAAGGAAGTCGAAAGTAACTAAACCTAAATATAAATGGGTAAAATAAAAAAGGACAAGAAATAGTTTTCAAAGTGTCCGTCCCACTTTATTTCTTTTCCATTTTTTTAGTCTTAGGCAGAATAAATAAAAGTCACAATAATCATCATCATTAGTCAAGCTCTCCCCATTTTAAAGCATAATTAGATCAACTTTTCCTGATTCTACCAACAATTTAACAAACAATATATATTAGGTTTTGATCTTGTGGGATAATTCATACAAAGGGTCTCTCTCTCTTTTTAGTACATAAGGGTCTCTCTTTTTACCCAAGATGACCTAGTCAGATATTCCCACAAGGAGACAGTCCATCGTCAGCATTGCAAAGAGAACCACTTTTTATATCAAAACTAAATGGGTCGTTCTCCAAGCTACAAGGCATATAGCTTACCCTGATTGTCAATACTCCAAAAGTTAATCTTCCATGGCCACACTCAATTACTTTTGACATACTCATTTTTAGCTGGCACCTATAATAGAGAAGGCAACATAGGTTTGTCTTATTGCCTAACATAGCTTTTGCTAGATCATCTTTAACTAATATACTGGATTTCACCGATTTATACATTAGGCTCGTGAACCTTCCACTTAATCAATGCTTTCTTTTCAATAATAAATCTGTTTATTTTAGCTATTACAATATTCGACTTAAATCCTCAAGAAATAGGTTTCCGATTATTTAACTTCTCTTCCTTTGGATGTGCACGGATGCACATAAAGAAAGCCTAGCAGATAAGGTGTTCGTGTGTTTCATCAAGAAAAACAAAATAACCCTGCGTAGCTATTATAGCTAAAACTCTCAGTGAAGCAATTAATATTAAAAAAAAAAAAAAAAAACACACAATCCTAGCATCGGGCAAATTAAAGTCTCACCATCACAATGCAACCATCGATATATATAGTTTCCTTGCAGCATTATATATATATATAATTAACGGAAAAGAAATAACCTGGCTTATCCAATATCCACACCCAATTAATCTCGTGTAAAGATTAATCATTTTTCAATAAGCTCTCACAGGAGAGAGGAGAGGGTAGGGATTTAAGTGCATGCTTCACAAATACACTAGATGTACATATCATTAATTTCAGTACAAAGCAATCATAAATATTTCTTATACTAGTAGTTGATAAGACCGCATTACTTGGCATAGAGCTCGGGGCACTTAATTTCCCTAACTACTTCCCCAACTCCGAACAATTTCAAGAGCATCTCAACAATGTAGAGGATGAACACGTCTTCATAGAGAGAAAGAAGCAAAGAACCTTGAAATTGCAAAAAAAAAAAAAAAAAAAAAAAACACAACAAAACAGCCAACATTTGGTACACTAAATTTATAAAGATGAAGATACAAAAAGAAACAAAATATAAAATAATAAAACATACCATACATGGTCGACACCTGTGGCCAAAAATTTTCTCCTGCTCCTCACTAAGTAGCAGTGGTTGCTGCAGTAGCAGTAGCACTAGCACTAGCACTAGCAGTCATCTTGGACTTTGGCCTCTTCCTTTTCTTTTCGTAGCTAACACCTCTTGCTTTTGCCTGATAATCACGAACATCTCGCAAGTAAATCCTCACAGCTCGTGCACCAAAAGGGTTAGTCTCGGGTCTGCCACCGTTCTCTTCATAAGCGGCACGGAGGCGACCTATGAGCGCGTCGAGGCTACCCCATGCCTGACGGAGTGGGCATGGACATGGAGCAGGTGGGTTCGGGAGACCAAAGAAAGGGCAAGGGTGGTTGTGAACTTTGGTCTTTCCAAACTGGTCAAGGTAGTGAAGAAATTCCAGAACATGAGCACCGCTACACATGGCAAGAGAGAGTGGTGGACGGTGGTTTCTGAGGTACTGACAGAACGTGTTCCAGTCTCGCCTCTTTTGGTTCTCGTAACGGCTTGGAGTGGTTGAAGACGGTGATGATATGGCTGTGGTTGTAGTTGTTACTAGATTTGTGGTTGGGGTCATGGGGGGGTTTGTTGATTCAGAAACTAAATCCATGGAGACAAAGATCTGAAGTTCTTTTTTTTTTTTTCTTTAAACCCTTGTTTCTTTGGATCTGCGTCTTTAGATCGATCTTGCTGAGGGTAAGGTGAGATTAAATTGCGTTGATGATATATATATATATGTGTGTGTGTGGAGGAGTATCACTCACTTAGGCTTCGCTTGTTCTTCTTCTAAGAACTAGGGTTTTCATAATATAAATAATAATAATAATAATAATAATAATAATATTGATGTTTTCTTCCCGTGCTAATAATTAGAAAAGTGTGTATCATGCAGTGAAAGAAAGATTGCCTGTGACTCAGGTGTTGCTGGAAAGGGAAGACGACAGGAACCAATAGTCAGTGACAGATGAATACTAGATTAGAGCGTGGTTTCCGTTGTGTTTCTATTTCTATGTCAGAAAGAGAGAGAGAGAGGGTTTGGAGAAAGGAATTGAAGAGAATGAGGAATTTGTGTATGGTTTCCTTTGGGTTGAATGTTAATGTTATGGTAGTTGTGTGTGTGAGAAACCTAAGGAGTGAACAGTAATTGGTGGGAAATGGAATGATTCATGGGTAAAGCTTAAAGAGTGGATCAGATAATCAGATATATGTTTCCAGAAAAGCGCAAGCAACTGAGAGTTATATCGTACAATGAGTGAGAGAAAGTGAAGTGGCCATGAGTGTTGTAAGAGAGGTTGAGAAGAACCAAAGGTTAAATGAAGAAGAGGGGAAGTGTGTTATGCTAAAACAGGACAAAGTTTGGCAGTGAGCAGTGATGATGGTGACCAAAGATGAGCAGACATTTCAAATTATCAATATTCGTCACTCTAGTTCTATGCGCGTGAAGCAACATGCATTCTCTTTTTCACATGCTGTATTTAAAACAAAAATAAAAAAAATAAAAAAATAATCGTCTTTTGTCTTTTTTTTTTTATATGTAAAAAGTGTTTGTCCTTTTAAATAATATAATTTATGTTATTTCATTTTCATAAAAATATGTGATTCACACTTTTAATTTATTTTTATCCAACTTTCTCTTTCTTTATCTATCTCTTTCTTTCACTTAAAATGATACAACTTTATATCCTTTAAAATGATACACATTTATTCCTGAGAGCCGTTTGGTACGAGATATTTTTTAGGATTTCTCAAAAACTGAGAGTGATAATCATATTTATCCACTTTTGGTACAAATTTTTTAAAATTTTTTCGAGAATCTGATTTTCCTGAAATTTTATTTTGTGTATAAATGTTTTTGAAAGAAATACCATCCAGGGGTGGTATTCTAGGATTTCTATGGCAAGAGAAAATTTAATACAACTAAACATAACATTAAGAAAATTAACTCAATATTCCTGAAAATATTTTAGTCTACCAAATACCTTTTTGCTAACATTCTCAGAAAACTCATTTTCCTATTATATTCTTGGAAATCGTAATTCCCTGATAAAAAAAAAAATCTCCTCTACCAAACACCACCCTAAGGATTTGAAATTTTTTAGTAAAGCAATACTTTTTAACTTTAATTCTCATATACTTATATTTTTATTATAATTATCAAAATGACCTTTTATTGAATATGTATATATTCAAAAATCTGATAACCAAAAAAAAAGTAACTTTCCAGTGTATATATATATATATATGGGAAAATATTTTCTCCGGAGAAAATTTTTCTCTTACCAAAGACTCATAACATAAGTGGGTCCCACTTTGAATTTTTTTTTCTCTTCACTATTTTGTAGGCCCCACTTATACTATGTGTCTTTGGTAGGAGAAAATATTTTTCCTATATATATATATATATATATATATATATATATATATATATATTGAAAAATCGATTTAGATAAAATAGATTTCTAAATGTCACTTAAAAATAAATAAATAAATAAAAGCATTGGGAAAATAATCTGGGATGAATGGACTTTCCAATGCAAAAATAAAGAAATTTTAAGAATTATAAAAATTAATATAAATATATTAAAAATAAAGTAAAAAATATTATTTAAAAAAAAGGCAAGATGTATAAAAAAAGAGAGAGGCAAGATTTGTATATATGTTGTTAAATGAATAAATTGCTACTTAAATGGAGGAAAGTAAATTAATTCAAGGTTTGAGAAGCGTACGTAGCAGGCAGAAAATTGAATGGTAGGAAACAGCAAACTAGACACACCTGAGATAAAATATTGTTTTTCGTTTTAGAAGATCAATGTTGTTGATGTACGAAAAACCACCCTTGATGATAATTTCCAAGTGTTCAATTTTTACTTATATATATATAAAAATAAACTTAAAGTTTATTTGTGCTTTAAAAGAATGTAAGTTGTGTATTTTAATTTTTTTACTCTATGTATTCATGATAGTACAGAGTTATAATATGAAAAATTGTTCATTTTTCTTTATCCTTAGTCATATTAGCTTACGAAAGAGAGTAACTTTTTATGTTATATCTATGTACTATCTAGAGTACATAAAGTAAAAAATTAAAAGGATATAACTTATATTATTTAAAAGGACAAATATTAGATTCATATAAAAAATGGGATATATGTATTTTCAACTACAGGGAAGATAAGTTATTTCCAGCTAATACACATGTTTTTCAAGATACAGTTCCTTATCCTGAAAGCATATGTCAGCTGAAGGTAACTTACTTTTCTGCAACAATAAGAGATTAATAGCGCCAATAAAAAATACCCTTGACTACATTCTATTTGAGGTAAGTTTAGCCATATATTTTTAAAATGAAGGCATACAAACACTATTTAAACGCGATAAATAATAATTACTACTTATAAATATTAAATTCTATGAGATTTTGAATACAAAATGTTTGTTGTCATATAAATTTAGGGTTTTATAAGAGTTATGTTGTAGGAAAAATAATTGTGTAATGTTATAGAGATTCGTTTTGCGTGCTATAATTTTTTTTTTTGCTTTAAAAAGTGTGGGGCCACAAAATGTTGTGTGTATAGGAAATTTTTTTTGGTCATGTTAAAGGACAAACTAAAACCCCATAAATTTATAGATAAAATACATATGAATCGAGAAAGAGAAAAAAAAATTCTATTCATTTTGATGTGTTTGAAGAAAAAAATACTTAAACCCTTATATATATATAATATTATTTTTTTTGAAAAAAAGTTCTCATTTGCTCTAGGAATAAAATTAATTTTTATAAAAGAATAAAGTTTTTGATAAATAAATTTCATAACTATTTGAATGCCCAAAATATATGCATGAAAGAAAGTATGCTGGCGAAAGACGCGAGAACAAATATAAATCATTGTGCTATTATGAAAATTTTAAAATATTAACTAGTATTCAACTTCTAAGAAGAGAACTATTGCCAGTCTAAACTACGTAAAAAAATTAAGTATTTTTTGTTGTTGAAAATTAGCGTATTAAAAAAAAAAACGCATCAAAAGTAACTAGCATAACTAAAGTGAAGAGCTAAGTTAACCAAAAAAAGAAGAAGAGCTAAGGCAAATATTAATGAAGTTTATTAATCTCATGTTATATAAGATAATATTTTTATGTGAGTGACATAAATATGTAGAGTTTATAATGTAAAAAAAAAAAAAAATAGACACAAAATTCTATAAATGTATGACATAAAATAATTCTTTTATGCAGATACGACTATTATTTCCCAATATTAATATAACCTGAGCTTAAATTCATAATTCAAATATATATATATATATATATATATATATATATATATATATATGAATGATTCGCAATAAATGATAACCGTTGATTGACGGAAATCAACGGTTAAGATGTGGTAGTAACATTATTTGGTTGTCACAATATCTTATCCCATATATATATATATATATATATATATATAATTTCAGCATTATTGGATATTTTGAGACTTGTCAACTTTTTTCCTGCTATCAATCAATCGAATGGGGCCCATGTACTGTCACGATATGGAGAGATTTCATACTCTATATAATACTTTTGTACAAATACATATACAGGGTTCTTTGAGGTGGTGTGATACTACTTTGAAAATATTGAGATTTCTTTTTTAAAATAATCATATTAAAGATCAGTTTATGGAAATATTTCTATAAACAAAAACAAAATATTTTCTCTTGGGCAATATCATATGTCGCGATCGGTTTAATTAAGTTAAGGAAAATGTTACATGCTTACCTTTAAAAGAGATTATATAAAAGATTTTAACGTAACCCCTTGTCATACGTAATTTGCTCAATCCTAATTAGTCCTACAACCAGTTTGTTTGTTTTTTTGTAAATTTTTTATTTTATTTTTGTAAATACAACCAGTTTGTTTTAACCAAGGCAATTTGCATCTGCAATTTTTTGGTTCTCTCCGTTGACCAGGTAATAGTTTTCTTACGGTAGCTTAAATCAATAAATTGGTATTATTACCACCATTGTTATAAATGGTATAAGTCTTGGCATCTGTTGTGTTCCACTTATAGGTAGATTTTGTAATACCAAAACCTACAAATAGGTAGATTTTTGGGGATGTCCAACGGACTCGCCCTATAGGCTAACGTGGGTTGTGGTAGGAACCAATAAATAGATAGATCTATGTCTTGTAGTTAGAGTAAACTAGCTTTGTGCCTAAAATGGAAAGAATAAAAACATTTAAATACCTATACAGATCAGTAATTCTCTGGTCCCTCCCTTCATCTCTAGGGAACAAAATGGCTCTCAAATATGATATCCCCTGTTTCATATTGTTGCTACATTTGCTTTGAAGGGTGGCAAAAAGTAATACTGTCTCATCGTATCCAAGCACAAACACTCTCCCGCTCTCAATAATTCTCATGTGTATTTATATTATATGCTTATATGATAACCATGATTTAATGTTATAGGTGGTTCGGAGCGCGTGCAAAATTCTTGAAGGAAAAAAATAGTGATAAAATTTTCAGTAAAATAAAGTTGTATGAGGACCATGTACACGCAACAAAGTCATGAAAATGACTCCTCTGAAGTGGAAACCTCAAATGTGTAATAATGA